AGATGTTTTTTAATTCTTATGTGAAGTAATTCATGGTGTTGTACTCAAATACTTGTAACAGAAATTCATTTCGATTGTTGCACAGTCATTCAACAGGGATGCGATATTTTACTTCTATACAAAGAAAAAAAATCTTTAATAGGAATATTTTTAAAATAATTAAAATAAAAGTTGTTAAATAAAATTTTTTTTTTGTGAAAAAAGAAATTAGAGAAAAAGTCAACCTTTCACAAAAATACCAATGTCCAGTTCATATTTAACATTTGCCCATAATAAAAGTTTAAAGTAGGTTTTTTTGGGAATTCCAATATATTAAAAATAAATTATGGAATTTTATGAACCACCAAATAATATTTATTTGCCATTACCAATACGTCTATTAAAATTAGCATGTGCATGGCCATTATCAGATATTGCAAATAATATATCAAAATTTTTAAATATATTAATAATTTCTTTTAATGAAATTATATTTGTAGTAACATCTGATTCATTTATTAATTTTTTATATACAAAATATAAAACCGAAGATATTGTAATTTTACTTGATTGTGTCTTAACACTTATAACATCATTTCAAGCACCAATACGTTTAAATCATTTTATATTGAATAGATGTAAATTTAAAAAATTTTTAAAAAAATTTTATAATGAAATTTATATTAATAAAGAACATAGATTTTCAGATTATGTTGAAAAAGTTATGAAACCAGTACGTTTTACATCAGTCTGTTATTGTTCAGCAATGTTACTATTCATTTTAATACCACCTGTTCAATATTATTTTCATAATGATAATAATAATAATAATAATGAAAATAATTTATATCAATTTCCATTTAAATGTTTATTTCGTTTTGATATAAGCAATTGGTATGGTTATTCAATTGGTTATTTTATATCAGCATATTGTGGTTCAATAATATCATGTTTTGTTGTTGGTGAAACATTTCTTATTGAATATATAATGTGCCATTTAATGGGTTGTTTTTCTGATCTAAAATCTAATATTGAAAATATTTGTATTAATATTGATGAGAATAATAATATTATAAATAAAAAATTAAATTATAATGAAATAAAAATGAAATTAAACAAAAATTTAATAAAACATGGAAAATTGATGCAGTAAGTGTATACCGTTTAATTGTCGAAGAAATAATTTAAGACCCTTATTATGATTGGCGAAACGAATGAAAATTTTGGCGAATATTAATTTTTGGTATTTCGCCGATCATAATTTAAAATGTCATTCGATTCGCCTAGTTCTATTCGACTCGACTCGCCTATAGCCATTCGCTTCGCTGATCATAAGGGTATAAATTCTGAGAACAAAATTCTGTAATCTTAAAATTCTATAAGACAAAAATTCTATTTAAAATTTTTATTTATTTGAAAATAAATTTCAGATTCGCTGAGGAATTCAATGAAAATTTTACATTTCGTTATTTTATTCTAACAATGAATGCTACCATTGTTATGTGTCTTTTAGTTTATGTTGTATTTAATGTGAGTATGCATCTAAGCTTATTCGCTCCACTTAATTTTTATAATAGAATTCAATTAAAAAATAATTTTATTAAATTTTAGCTTGGAATGCAATTTGCTATAATAACTTATATTGCATGGGGTGCTGGAGCAATGTTAGAGCAGTTAGCTATTGGTTATTCTGCTTCAGAGTTATATGAATTGGTTTGTAATTTTGTATTATTGCTTACACACAATTAAAGAAATAGTTTTGGTTAGTTTTCTAAAAAAAAATTGTTTTTCATGTTAAATTTTTAGTATTCATTAGTTTTAAGTGTATAACCTATTAATAATTCTTATAGGAACAAAAGTTGATTTCGCGTTTGCAATTTTAACAAAGATCTGCAATTGCAGTACGTTTTTGTAGTTTGCTGCAATAAGAATTCCAAACTGCAAAAGATTTTTTTGCAAGTCGGCATCGTAACATTTTTTTCTCCTTTTATATTCATAAACTTCAATTAGTAGAGAACTAAATTATAGTAGAGAATAAAAATCAAACTTTCAGACATGAGAGTTCTTGTTGGTAGCTTTGCTCTAGTAGTTCTATTGCAGTGCAGTTTTAACTACAAACGCGAAAACCAAAACTCATTATTCAACCAAAATATTTTTAATTTTAGAGTGGAAATTTGAATACGTATTTGTACTCATCAAATTGGGAACTGATTTTGAATAATGAGAATTTAACAAAAAGAGAAAAATTATCATTAATGAAAGATATTTTAACAGCAATGTGTTTAATTGAAAATAAACCAGTTAAAATAACTGGTTTAAATTTTTTTAATTTAACAATCGAAACATCATTTAATGTAATTTTTTAAACTTATTTATAAATTTGAATATTTTATTGTCAAATTTATTTTTAGGCTATAAAAACATCAATTTCATATTTTATGTTCTTAAATACAATGAAAGATGTTAACAAATAGATGAATAATTTATATTCAACAATATACAGAATGTAATTGGCTACTAAAATGAATTGGAAGTTGGATCAATTAAGAAGTTCCTGTTTAAATCATCAGCATGTTAATTTTATTATTTAAGATGAAATTATTAGAATATATTAATATCAATTTCATTAATTTTCGTAGGGTATACACAAAGCAAATTTTGTATATTATGTTGGTGCAACAATTTTATTGTATGCCTAACTATTCGTGTTGTTTGCACTACTATATCATGCACGTATTACATTTATTCCGGGAATTCAAGCAAATGTACTCAAAATTTCAATCACTTCTATTGAACAGTTGCAATCATTTAGTATGAATTTGTTTAATTCTGAAAATTAAACTTAACTCAAATTTGAACCAATTATTACATATTAATTAAAATATTAAACCTTTGTAATTGTTAATATAAATATTTAGAATATATTTTTGAAATAGTTTTAAAGGCACAATATTTACTGTTAAATCTAATGAACGAAAATTTGTTGTTAAAATAGAGTTACAATGATTTATAGCTCCAAGTTAATTGGCAATTATCATTTAAAATTACTTTAGCTGGTGACTGATTTAAGTTGTCTTTAATTAAATTTTGTACTAAAATATATTGAGCTTGAAATAAATGTTGACATAATACGTATTTCATTATTCTAAAAAAAAATTTCATTCAATGCAGTAATTAATTTCTAAATGAGAAATTACTTGCTGATAGCTAAAAAACATATGATAAAAAATAATTTGTAACTACGTGAAATCACTTTCTGTTGGAGGAAGAAAATATTAGAATGCCTTATTATTTTGTATTGAATAAAGCAGCCGTCGGCCAATTGCGACCCATTCAACTTCAAAATGTGGCCCATCATACTGCTTCCAAGAGAAAAATATATTCGGTGGCGACTATTAAAATTTTTAGAAAAATTTTGAGAATACAATCATAGATTATAGATATACGAACATTCCATACAAATTTATTATTTGTAAAAACAATACAATCAATAAAGTCAGAATATCATTTTCATTGTAGGAAAATAATGTAAGAATATTTGCCTATAAACGCACAAAAGTTTGCCGTCGGCTGTAATAAAGAATTACACATGATTTACTATTAAGTACTCATACTACTTAAATTGTTGTTGTTTTCCTATTAATTAATGTTGTAGTGCTCTATAATGTTTGAACAATACAAAATCTAATAAATAACCACTATCAGCTGTAGAATAAACCAGTTTCTCCAAAAATTATTTTAATTCCCAGCATTTATTTATGTCATAATTTCAATTGTAAATAGTATTTAAATTAAAACAACAATTTATTATTGTCACATTTCTTCTTCATGTTCACTTATCATTTTACTCTCTTCTTTCAATAATTAAATCTACTTATGTATGTCTTATTGATTGAATATGTCCAATGTTAACATTAGGTATTATAGGTCATTATTATGCTTTCTCTGAGAGTGATAACAGAAAACCAAACATAGGTATATATGTAGCTTTGTATGTATTTTCTCAATATTTTCTTTCTCTAATAATTTCTAATTCTAAATTAAGATGATAACACAATATAAGAAACTTTTCTATAGAATACAATTATTATAGTTTTAATCATACCGTACTTTTGTTACTATTTTATTTGAATTTCAAATTATGTATTTAGTGCTAAAGAAGAGAAGTTTTAAAATTTTTTAGCAGAAGTATGAGTTTTCTTAGTTAAAGTGCTTAAGTATTAAAAAATTGGTAAAGAAGACGTGAAAGATTGCAAGTATTTATATGAATAAAGGTCTATGATTTTACATCACCATTTATGTACTTTTTAAATTTCAGAGTTGGGTGAGGACCAACTCCCTGTCCAGAGTTTTCAGCGGTCAATGCAATACTGATAGTCTAAAGCTCTACAGTTCATTAAATGCTCGTTGAAATCTCAAAATTTTTTGGTAGTTATCTAAAATGACTATCAAACTTTCTCTCATTTGAGCCAGAAAAACTAGGCTTTAAAAATATGTTTTTTAATAGATTTTTGTACGGTTTTCAAAAGGAAATTTTAGAATTTTAAAATACTCTTTAGTTATCATACTAAATAATTGCTCAGCCAAAATTAAATAAATTTAATTCAAAACAAATTTCAAAAACTTTTAAGTATTTGTAATGAATGTATCTACATACATAACTATATTTTCGAATCTCATATTTGAATTGTAAATAGGTATAATTTGAATATTAAGCACATCGTGTCCTATGAGTGATCTGATTACTCATTTGTTAGTCTATCTGCTCACTGCTGTTATTGACCGTAAAAGTTAAATTTCTTTTCTTATTATTATTTTGGAAATTGAGAATTTTTTGTATTTATTTTTTTTTTGCAATTTTTACTATACAAAAATTTATTCTCAAGCAGTTACAATTTATTTCTCATCGAATATAGAAGTAAATTTTTGACAGAAGTAAAGCTCAGACTTAAATATCTCTTATCTCTTATACATAAAAGCAATATACCTACTTTATGAAATTTAATTTTACATTTCCAATTATTAAGAAAGTAAAATAAGCGTAACTCTGTAATAATAATTACAATTATCAATATCAGATCCATATTATTAGACAGCCAGGTACGGTACACATTGATATCAAATAATAAAATAATTGTTCTACTACAATTTATTGTAGGTTACACAAGGTAACCAGATTCTTATTCAACAATAATAAAATTTATAATTTAAAATTTAAAAAGCAATATACAAAATAAATAAATCAAAAAATAAGAAACTAATCAAAATATGACAAAAGAAACTGATATAACAACTTTACAAGATAAAGATAGTGCAAAAATATTCTATTCCAGATACGATCCGAAAGAGAAACTTGGGAGGTAAGCATATAATTTTTGTTTTTTTTTTTGTTTTTTTTTTTATTGACATGATATATAGCTCAATAATAAATAAATTGAGCTGATAATAAAAGTAATAACAAAAATAATAATAATAATATGACAAAATTAGTTAATTGATAAGCGGTAATTTGTAAATTGATATTGTTCAGAATGTTATACGTATGTAGTACAGTACTTATCACAATTATATGAGCACATATACAAACATTTTGCTTGTAATATAATTTTATAAGCAATTGAATACGTTCAATTTAAAAAAATAAAATTTATTTTAGAATTTTGTAATTAAATAGAAAAGTTCACTTTATATTTTAAGTTTTTACACGTATAACACTTTTAAATTTTTAGCGGTGGTAGTGCTTCAGTTCATAGATGTATTGAAAAAGAAACTGGTGAAGAATATGCTGTTAAAATTATTGATTTAAATGATGAAGATAATGATGCTGAAGATGTTTGTAAAGAAATATCAAATTTAAGAAAAGTTATGGGTCATCCATTTATTAGTATGTCAAACACCGAATAATATGTGATTTTTAATTTTTAATCATTTCTTTTTTTGGTATATTTTTAAGTTGAATTACGTGATGCATTCCATTCAGATCAATATTATTTTTTAATGTTTGATATATGCCGTAATGGTGATTTAGATGATTATTTAAGTATTAAAGTTACTTTATCAGAAAAGGATACTAAATTTTATATGAGGTGAGTTTTATTAAATATTAGTAATTATTTTAAAGTAAAAGAGTCCAGACAATTTTTAATTCATAATTTTTTTTTATTTTTAGACAAATTTTTTCTGCTTTAGCATTCATGCATTCAAAAAACATATTTCATCGGGATTTAAAATTAGAAAATATTTTGCTAGATAAAAATTTCAATGTTAAAATTACTGATTTTGGATTTTCAGAGGAGTTGAAACGTGGTCAAAAATTGTATGGTTTGTATACAATATGAAAATATTAAAAATTTTATAAATTTTCAATAAATTTTAATGATAAATTAATAAATTAATTTATTTTTTTTTTAAATAGATTTTCGTGGATCATTTAATTATTTGGCACCAGAAACAATAAAAAATCAAGGTGCAGATCCACCAGGATGTTCTATTGAAGCTGATATGTATGATAAAGCAATTTTATATTATTTAAAAATTAATTTATTTAAATAAAAATACAAAATTTTAGTTGGGCTTGTGGTGTAATTATGTATACAATGGTTACTGGTTTTCATCCATTTTGGAGTCGTAATCAAAGAACATTACAAAAAAATATTCTAAGAGGTTTAATATCATTTGATTGTCCTGGATTTCCAAAAATATCAGGTAAATAATTAATAATATCTTGATAATTCTATGATTTTGAAATAAAAGATATTAATTAAAAATTTTGATATCTGTATAGATGAACTCAAAGATCTTATACGTAGATGTTTAACAATAGATCCAACAAAAAGGATAACTGCAATACAAGCTTTAAGTCATCCATTCTTTAAGAAATCTGTAAGAGCATAGTTGCACTTATAATCTTTTCTTTATGGTCCATTAATAATTTTCATTTTAGCATCAAAAATATACTTTGAATCCGAGAAAAAGATTTAAAATAGCAATAACATGTGTTATAGCATTATTAAAAATTAAAAAATTACATTTCAATACATTACCAATACGTTTAAGTGAAGTAATTGAAGATCCATATAGATTTAGATTCTTTAGAAAGGTGAAAATATGAAAATTCGTTTTTAATAATTGCTAAAAAAAAAACACAAACAATTTGTCTAATATTTTTTTTTTTTTATTTTAGAAAATTGATGCATGTGCATTTCATATTTATGGTCATTGGATTAAAAAAGAACAAGGCCAAAATCGTACAGCATTATTTCAAACAATACCACCGAAAGGATATTATGAACAATTGCTATTTAAACAACAATATTGTATATAAATTGGAAATTGTGATAATTTTAATTGATTTTTTGGATTTATTTTTCAAGTTTTCTAATTGATCATTTTTTAACAGTTTCCATATTATTAATCGAATTTATTGTTTTTAATCGAATATTTTGTTCAAATACTTTAAAATTATTTACTTTATTAAATCGAATTTAAAATTAAAAGGAATTTGTAAAATATTACAGATTGTTAATCGAAGAGCCCTTCCTTTCCTTGGGCTGTCAATTTGTTTCATTAGAGGCAGACTTGACGGTCTGCTTGAGGGGGAATCGAATCTTCGCTGGAAGTCTGCTGAGTGTGGTCATCATGCGAAACTGTTGCTTCTTTCTTGCTCAAGGAATTTCTCCTCAGAGCTGCTTGGAATGGATCGGAATCTGGTTCATGCTGTTACTGGTTTCTTCACTGGACATTGTCCATTTAAATATCACTTACACAAATTAGGAAAAACGGACTCCCTTTTGTAAACATTCTGCCCGGGTAACGAGGAGACGGTCTCACATATTCTATGTGACTATCTTGCTCTGGCTGTCAAAAGGTTTAGATGGTCTGGGCGGGACTTTCTTAGTGTTGAGGAGCTTAAATCCAACTCCCTGATTAATATCCCCGGATATTTACTCGGAACAGGGATAGTTTAAGTAGGATTTGGGAAGGCTACAATAAGCCATTGTTGACTGCAGTTGTCGGAGGGGAGGAATTCCTTTACCTATATCTCGCTTCAACAATCTACAATCTAGGTTATAAATATATAGAAATATGTAGGTATTGCAGATTTTTGATTACCAATATTATTAAACGATATTGGTAATTAAATTGCCATTTCACTTAATATTATTTTAAATTCAAACCATAATTGAATTATTATTTTAAAATGTTGATCAAAATTTTTGAATTTATTTACCGTGCAAATTTTATTATTAACTTTTAAAATTTAATAAATCTTTTGATTACTTTAATTTTTTCCCCTATATTTAAATCAGGTGAATGAAAGTAACATATCGTATGCAATACTGTACGTATATTCTAGACACCGTTTGTATGACATGAAATTTATGACTTTAAAAAGTTTTTCTTCTTCATATACATATTGTATTGCATATGGTTTTACATTTTCTATTTAAAAACATTATTTTTCTATATTTCTCTGTCTTCGTTTTGTATTTTAAATACCTTGTTCTATTCCCAATCCTATAACACAGTATATTTGTATTTAACAAAATTTTTCTATATTCATAGTAAAAAATAGAGTATAACAATATACTTTAAGTTTAAGGAAAGCAAAAAAAAAAAAGAAATTAAATAAAATTTATGTAGTCGCGACTGTCGCTATAAAACAAAATTTTCATTTTTCATTTGTTATACAAATATTCTACTATTTATATCCTTGTTATACTAGTACATAATATGCAGTTACTTATGTAATATAGAATTAAAAAATGGAAATCGAAAATCAGTTAAGAATATTCTTCTCTTTATTTGTTTTTATATTATTATATAAGATTTAAAAGGTAAAATTCTTATTTCATTTTAATATTCGAGGACATTTTTAAGTTAAGTTGTTAAGGTATACGTATATTATGTATATAATAAGTAAATAAAAAAAAAGAAAACTTAAAGGAAAAACAGAAAAGAATTTAATACTTTAATGCCACCATTGGGAATAAAAATGTTTTTCTACTTTTTTTTTTTTAAATGGGGGAAAGCCAACATAGAAAATATAAGACAGAAAAAATTTTAAATGAAAAGTGATACTGGGATATTTTTAGATTTAGATTTTACATTTATATTTTTTACCGGTAAGAATTTGTTTTATCTGGTATATATATGAGACGAGAACTATTATAAAAACAAACTGTCATGCTTATATTAAGGTACAGTAGAGAATGAATAAAACTAAAACCTCTGTAAATGTAATTAATTCCCCTATCCCACGAATTCCTCTTAATTATTCTATATGTTCAATAAATTTTGTGAATATGTGCACACTATTTTAGTACATTTTAAAAGACGATTTGTGATTACAAAAATTATTCCTTATATGTATATTTGGTTAAAAATTGCCCTCGAAAAATGTTCGTGAGCATTTGTGTAAATTTTGTTTTATTCAACAAATAAAATCCGTTTGTAGTGCTAAGAAATAATAGTCCGAGATAAAGATATAAGTATCCAAATGATCAGGGTCCAATTTTATCATTCAATTTAGCCATGTCTGCCCGTTCGTTCGTCCCAGCGATAATACACAAACTAATTGAACTAAGCTCATTAACTTTTTCACAAATTAATTATATTAATAAATGCCGGAATCCTATTAAAATTGGAAACTAGTTAAGGCACAGTATTGAAATATCATATAAACAAATATGGTAACATTTTATAGGAGCTGTTTAGATTAAACGAGCACTTCTGATAGCTGCCATACAAATGTTAATTGGCATTATCTCACAAATTATTGAAGCTATAGTATAGAAATTTCGTTCAGGAATATTATTGGGTCTGTTATGTATCACAAAAATCGGTTAAATTTCTTGAGTAGTTCTTGTATCACATTTTAGAAACTATTAAAATTACAGTGCTTTAAATGTATGTAAACGGTATGGTAATATGGCTATTATTTTCAGTAAATATCTTTCAGATCATATGAGTGTACGTGGGAACTGCCGTAAATAGTGTAGAAAATAGCATATAAAAATATTGGGATCAGGTGAAACAGTGTGACAATTAGAATACAATTTTTAAAATAATTCATTCGTACGAATATCACAAAATTGATACGGTACAGACAAATCTACCTACTCTCATTTTATTCTTTTATTTAATTAGCCTCATGAGGATCTTACATATTGAAATATTTAAAAACCGTATTGAGAAACATAATTGCAAAAAATATATTAGAATATTATGAAAAAAATAACAATTTTGTAATACCATTTTTGTTAAATTGTAAATATTCATTTTTTACACTAAATATTGTACTAGATTTAAAATTTACATAGATATCGTAACATTTAAAATAAAACTATTTTATATTTATAAGATGATTAAAATTCACATGTAAGTCATATTATATAACACTTATATATTATTCTTGTATAATATACATTAAATAATATGTACTTGTAAAGTGTAAGGAGTTTATCATAAAAAAAAAAAATAATTTATTTCTCTTTAATTTTTAAATTCATATATAAAATAGTAGGGATGCTATAAATTTTATTTGTATTTCAAGAAAACGAACAAAAAAAATATAGGAACAAAGAAATTTTATTAAAATAAATGTGAAATCTCTAAAGATTTTTGATATTTAAATTTTGAAATTGTTTAGAGACATTTTTTTTTTTTTATTTTATAATTATTTATTATTTATGTACATGCAGCATTAATAATAAATCACACCTTTTTAAATAATCTAAAATAATAGAAAAATATTATATTACAATTTATATATAAATTATAAATAATTAATTATGTATAAATGTTGCTCAAATATTGTGTATACATATTACATATGACATAATATGAATATTCCTATATACATTCATATATCATAATTATTAATTATACAAAAGTATAACTGTTATACTAAAATTTATGCACTTATATTTAAACATTCAATTTTAAGGAATAAATTTTAATTTTTAAATAATATTCACATTATAGATAACATAATAGAAGAGTAGAATAAAAAAACCGCACTTCCATTTTGTTAAAACTTTAAATTGAAATATAAAATTTTGATTATTATAGATTACTGGGTCTTAAACTATATATTGTATAGAATATGTAGATGAATCGCTTATTTACACACTATTAGAATGTGGATCAATATTTTAATCTATTCTCAAACTGGCTCTTAAACTATATATTGTATAGAATATGTAGATGAATCGCTTATTTACACACTATTAGAATGTGGATCAATATTAATTTATTCTCAAAAAATTTAATTTTTCAGTATGTCATAGAATAGAACTTGTGGAACTTGTGATACAATTTATTGGGAAGCTTAACAAAGTACCTCGCCCAAAATTATGCAAATTTATATGAACTGTATTTAAAAACGAATTCCCATTGTAATGGAAGGGAATATTGAAAAATTTAATTTGAAAAAAAAAAAATAAAAGTATTCAATAAAAAAAAAATTAATAGCTATCTCGTTAATTCAAAGTTTGTCAGCATATAAACTTTGAGAATTATGGATTCATTATTTATAACTTCTCAAATATTAATTCCAAATTGTATTTTAATTCTATTTTTGTAAAAGTTTTATTTTATCAACTAAAGATTGACTTAATTTGGTTTTAATATAATTTTGTTCTTTAATAGTTGTTAGTACTTAATTGAAGACATTAATGGAGTTACTATATTATATGTTAGATATTCCGCTAGAAATTCTAAATTCTTCGGTCTTTCTATTGTTATAGATTTCATTTAACTAGATGTAGATTTCAATTAAGTTCGTGATCGATTAAAAATCTTATAGATATTTATAATTATCAATCTTTTCTATTTTTTTGTTGTTATAAATTATATTTATAGGTTTGCATGTTCTGGAGCTCTAATTTATGTTTAGTTATTATCTTTATTATATTTTCATTATTTAAATTTATTACCGACCGCAATTGCATACAATAAGGAGGTTATGTGATGACAACAAATTTTGCATAAAGAGTTTATTACTACTTCTGCGTAGTAGGGAAGTGTAAATAAACTGTTTTTAGAGAGGTGTCGGTCTGTCGGTTATGTGCTGACCACAGACATCAGCGTCATTCATTTACATAAATAAGAAATAAGGTTGAACTCAATGACCTAGTATTTGATTTTGTGGGGCAAGCATGTGTTTGAGGCGAAGCGTGGAGTAAGATACAATTTTATGATATTTGTAGATAATTTACAGAAACTCTTCAACTATATACAACTCATTTAAGTTATTTTTATTTTTAGGTTCAGACTTTTCACTTTTAATAGACGAAATGTGTCTACAATCTCACTTGAATGAATTCAGTTATAACAGATGGAACTTTGAACCATGGTTATTTGTAAAAAGAATTCCTATTTTATAATTAGAAAATATAATATTATTTGA